AGCAACAATAAAATAACAATAACGAGGCTATATACAGGGGGTACTGGTACCGAGTCAATGTGCGGGGGTAAAGGTTAGTCGAGGTAATTGAGGCAATATGTACATGTAGGTAGGGGTAAAGTGACTATGCATAGATAATAGATAATAAACAGCGAGTAGCAGTAGCGTAAAAAAAAGGGAGGGATTGGCACTAGACTTGGCACTCCGGTACCGCTTGCTGTGCGGTAGCAGACCGAACAGTCTATGACTAGGGTGGCTGGAGTCTTTGGCTATTTTTAGGGCCTTCCTCTGACACCGCCTGGTATAGAGGTCCTGGATGGCAGGAAGCTTGGCCCCAGTGATGTACTGGGCAGTACACACTACCCACTACAGCCCCGTCGATGAGAATGGGGGCGTGCTGAGTCCTCTTTTTTCTCCTGTAGTCCACAATCATCTCCTTTGTCTTGATCACGTTGAGGGAGAGATTGTTATCCTGGCACCACATGGCCAGGTCTCTGACCTCCTCCCTATAGGATGTCTCATCGTTGTCGGTGATCAGGCCTACCACTGTTGTGTCGTCTGCAAACTTAATGATGGTGTTGGAGTCGTGCCTGGCCACGCAGTCATGGGTGAACAGGGAGTACAGGAGGGGACTAAGCACGCACCGCTGAGAGGCCCCCGTGTTGAGGATCAACGTGGCAGATGTGTTGTTGCCTACCCTTACCACCTGGGGGCGGCCCATCAGGAAGTCCAGGATCCAGGATCCAGTTTTGAGGCACCATGGTGTTGAACGCTGAGCCGTTGTCAATGAATAGCATTCTCACATAGGTGTTCCTTTTGTCCAGGTGGGAAAGGGCAGTGTTGAGTGCAATAGAGATTGCGTCATCTGTGGATCTGTTGGGGCGGCATGCAAATTGGAGTGGGTCTAGGGTTTATAGGATGATGGTGTGAGCCATGACCAGCCTTTCAAAGCACTTCATGGTTACATGGCTACAAATCTAATAACTTGTATGCGATGAGGATTGGCACAAAGATCTCTCTCTCTCTCTCTCTCTTTCTGGCTTCCTATTCAGAGCTGGGCTCCTGTACTCAGAAATAGCAGATAACAGATAACAGATAGGATAGTTCACTGGGCACTGTCTCATAATCGCCCTGACAATTATCACCTCGATCATCAAAACCCTTGTCCTCCCTCTGGTAGACCAATGCTTCAGGGACATCACTTGCAAACACACACGCAAGCAAGTACGCACGCACGCACACACACACACACACACACACACACACAAGGACACTAACAAAAGAGAGATCACAAAGACAGCTACAAATATGCACAAAATACACAGAAGTGGATGTACATTATACACAAAGCGGTAGGAACAAAAGACAGGTTGTCACTCAAAACACATCACAGCCACAATAGAGGAAGAACCTGTTTCACAATGTGTATACGCTGTATCATGACACCTCTGAATTCACACACCGACACACACAAACATGCAGACACACACACACACACACACACATAGACATACACACAGATCATGGACAATTTATCACAGACACCCTACATCCCCCATCACCATCCCTCACCCTAATGTCTTTCAATGGTCAATGGTTAGAGTTAGATCTGCATGTTCTTTAGCTTAGCCAATGATAGTCACAGCAATGAACTGAATCCCATAGTGATGTGTTCCAGGCTAGAAATAGGCAATGGTGGAAAAAGTAGCCAATTGTCATACTTGAGTAAAAGTAAAGATACCTTAATAGAAAATGACTCAAGTAAAAGTCAAAGTACCCAGTAAAATACTACTTAAGTAAAAGTCTAAAAGTATTTGGTTTTAAATATACTTAAGTATCAAAAGTAAATGTAATCGCTAAAATATACTAAAGTATCAACAGTAAAAGTATAAATCATTTCAAATTCCTTATATTAAGCAAACCAGACGGCACCATTTTGTTGTTTTAAAAATGTACGATTAGCAAGGGGCACTCTCCAACACTCAGACATCATTTACAAACGAAGCATTCATGTTTAGTGATTCCGCGAGATCAGAGGCAGTAGGGATGACCAGGGATGTTCTCTTGATGAGTGTGTGAATTGGACAATTTCCCTGTCCTGCTAAGCATTCAAAATGTATCGAGTACTTTTGGGTGTCAGGAAAAATGTATGGAGTAAAAAGTACATTATTTTCTTTAGGAATGTAGTGAAGTAGAAGTAAAAGTTGTCAAAAATATGAATAGTAAAGTAAAGTACTTTTACTTAAGTACTTTACACCACTGTAAGCAGGGATGTAGAGAGTCATCTGAGCCCCTGTTTCAGAGTGAGTCCTGAGTCATGATAAATAGCACATCACTCCCTCTAGTGCCATACACCTTCTTTTGGCAAAAATATCCTCATAGGGCACTTAAGCCTGGACCATGAGTCAACCACAGAAAACTCAAATTCTTATAGTGTGTGTGTGTGTGCGTGCGTGTGCAGATGCTTGTCAGTAATGTTAGTAAAGTCTATCCAATCTCTGTGACCTCTGACCTCTAACCTTCCTACCCCCAGGACATTAACCACCCTGGCTGTCCCAGCAACCCTCAGGAGGTGGCCAGGCCCAGAGCTTCCTCTACAACCCTAAAGTAGGCCTGTGTGTGTGTGTGTGTGTGTGTGTGTGTGGGGGGGGGGGGTTAAACTTCATCAATATCTCTCTCTCTCTCTCTCTCTCTCTCTCTAGGAAGCAAAGCAGCACACTACTCAGCACAAGCAACGTATGTATTCACAGTCTAGGGTGTGTGTATTTGTGCGTGAGTGTGTGTGTGTGTGTGTGTGTGTGTGTGTGTGTGTGTGTGTGTGTGTGTGTGTGTGTGTGTGTGTGTGTGTGTGTGTGTGTGTGTGTGTGTCTGGAACCTTTCTCTGTCAGGCTGCTCAGGATTATATTATAAGAATTAAATGAATATGTTTGTCATGCCAATGTGTGTGTGTGTGTGTCCTCACTCCCTCTCTCTCTCTCTGGCAGCTCAGGGGGATGACCCACCCTCACCTGGCGCCTCAAAAATTGTAAGTGGGACATGAGAAACACGATCTACCTAAGGTCACCGAACAGTGGGGCCATGAGCCGGGGCTGTGATCCACACACACGCACGCACGTACGCACACACACACACACACACACACACACACACACACACACACACCACACACACACACACATGAACACACACAGAGGCAGTAGTACTAATCTGTCAGTTTTAGTTGTGCTGCAAACATGACGTAAAAACACCAGGACACCAGGTCAAAGGTGACCTGACATTTGTGTGAACTTTTCCAGTAGCAGAACAAAGAGTCTCCTAGCTTATTAACCCTTTATATCCTCTCTCTCAGTCAGAGGTGACATGTACCTCATTACCCCCTCAAAACTAGACTGTATACTTTTGTATACTTCATACTTCACTTCACTTTTACTTTACTTTAGAGTACCTTTACTTTACTTTAATCTTTCTCTTTACGTATGTTTTTCTCATTTTTCCCAGCATGCTCGCTGATGACTTGAAGCTCAGCAGTGACGATGAGGATGCTGACAAGGTAGGGAAGCCCAGCAACATTCTACAAACCTTTCGGAAAATGTTTACAACATTTCAGAATGTCTCTCTCTCATGACCTGAACTAAATGTTTCCTTACTTCCATCCGCCCTTTCTCTTTCCTCCCTCCTTCCCTCCACCCTTCCTCCCTCCACCCTTCCTCCCTCCACCATTCCTTTCTGCTCCCTCCAACCGTCCTTTATGTTCATCCTGCTGCACAGTAAAAAAAAATAAACCCAAAGTATTTTGGGGGGTAACTAGTAACAGGACTTTTG